CTGAAAGTCAGATCATTTATCTCCAATAAATCTTACTTTATGACTTTTGTCCATAGTAGTCCCTATAGCATAACTGATGTGATTGTGTGTGTGCTTATGCTTAAGCTTATCGGTGCTTTCCCAGGGGGCCCCCCCCCCCCCCCCTTTCTCTCCTGGGAATATGAAGCCATGTGTGTGTGCAAGTCCTGTTTGTTTAACTTGGTCTGATACCACTCAAAGCCAGTGGTCAGTGTGTGTGCGTTCAAATAGTGGATGGAATTTTGGAAAAAAAACTCTAAAACAAAACCAAAAAAAATGAAAAAAGGACCAAAAAAAGAAAACTAACATAGAAAAGAATAAACTGCTCACACACTGCAGAACTCTAATCTTTTGAATTTAATGCATGTGCTGGTGTTGGACATTTTAAGAGTGCCCTCTCTTCACCACGCAATGAAAAGGCCTGATAAAGATGGTCAGCGCCATCATAAATCACATTAATTGGCTGAGTAGGTTTAAAACATGTCTATTCAGGTGTATCAAAGATTATACTGTTAGATATTGTCTCAGGCATTATATATATCGTTTCTGGATTTGTCGAGATGTAATTCTTCACGTACTTGTTCTTATAAGTTTCCTTTTAGTTTTTCTAGTTAGTCTCATAACTCATGCAAAGACGATATGTATTACTCGCAGATGATTCATTTATTAACTATTTTTCCAATGTAATACGTGGTTCTGTTTGAATATTATTATCACTGGTCGCGGTCATATGACCTATCACAGTTTATTCAACATGGCGCCGCTCTGTGTTTCATTATCTGATGAAGAGCAGGTGTGTAGGAAACTTCATACTCTACTTGATGCAGAGTTTGGCAGTGTGCGAAATGTTTCCTGAGATGCTGGTACTCAGAAATCCCTTGCTCTGCTGTTTGAAATGTGGGTAAGGTCCTTCAGAAAGCGATTTCACCTCAGCATTTATTTATTATTAAACACATTCATGTACAGTACATGAATTTAGACAACGCTGCTAAGAGGAAAAAACAATACACATGACTGAACAGTGACCAGAATTACTCTCTGCATGGGAGCGAGTGAGTTTTCATGCTACCACAGACTCCAACAATAACAGTGGCATCACATTCATAACAGTGAACTTTAGATCCTGCTCAGGCAGGCTCTAAAGTTAACAGAGGCAAAGCTGCTCTTAGTGTAGACATGGTCATAAGATAATAAGTCATGGGTGAAGCTTAAATGCCGCAATACAGATAAGAAGTAAAGTAAAATAAGTCAAAATGAATGTGTGAAGTAACTTTCAAGATAAACATCAGAATGTGCTTCACAAGAAGAACTCAATTTATTATTTAAAACTGAAAGTCGTCCAATAAGATTTCAATTAATAAAAAAAACAAACAGCCAATCTTAACTTGTCTGAACATTTAATAAATTCGTTTTTATATGGAAGGACCTATAAGTTTCAGTTTATGAGCAGTAACCCTAAACAGTAACCCTTAGCATCTACATTCAGTGGTAAAACTAACATTATTAAAGGCATAAAAAAATAAATATTTACCTTGAATGGATGAAAAGGACCAGAAGATTTTTGTTTTGCCTGAGCTTTTGGCTATTAGATAGAAAGTTGTTGGACTTAAAGAGCAGAATTGGAGAAATTATTAGCATTAATGTGTCCTTAAAACAAAACAGCAGTACATTGTTGCTGAGGCTGCCACATTCAATACTCTGAATATAACACGTACTTCTACAAAAATTGATGCATTAATACTTTTTGCAATAAATTTTCCTCCATAAGGTTTAAAAAGTAGCAAAACAGACACAGTGTTGGAAACAGTGTAGTGCAGTAGTGGACTGGCCTGTTAAAAGCATGGTGCCTGTTTTTAATTCATTATGTAAGAGTAGTGAGACAGACAGGTAAGTTTGCCAGCTGATAGGTTAGCTGAGCTCCTCCTGTTTCGGTGTGCCAAAGCAGACCACAACTCTCCGTTAAGTTTACTTGAGGTGGTGAATATCATGTGTCAACACATGACACCAGCTACTGTACACCCCGGGAAATCCAGCAAGTTGGCCTAGAGGGACCTAGAGGTCCTGTGAGATTGATTCAGAAGTGCTTCTGCTAGTCAAAAAACACTTCAAGGACCTTGTGAGACCAACAATGTTTAATGTTACATCATCTTTGAACCACAGAAACAACTAGAAAAGTGAAAGCGGTTGTCTCTCTGTGTCAGCCCTGTGTAAGGCTGGACACCAGTCTGCCTCTCACCCTACTGCAGCTGGGATAGGCTCCAGCCTCCCATCGACCCTGAATTGGAAAAGCAGAAGAAGATGGATGGATAGATTTTCTTTGCTATATTTTATAGTCCTGCTGACTAATGTGGCCTTGCCCCAGGCCTACTGGTTTCCTGGAAAGATTCTTGACTGTGGCTCCACCATTGTTCTCTATGCAGTAAAAAGCAGAGTTAGCTGTGTGTGACTGGAAGACTCAAACTGACGCATGCATCATATATTTGACACAGCAGTGGTACATTTGAGAAATCACTCCACTGTGATACAAAGGTGTGTGTGTGTGTGTGTGTGTGTGTGTGTGTGTGTGTGTGTGTGTGTGTGTGTGTGCCTAATAGTAATAAATTGCAATAAAAAAATTGCTAAGTCTGATCTTTATAGAAATGGCAGTATGACGTTGACATACTGGGAACAGGTCAAAGTGAGCGAAAAGTCAAACTACAGCTCTCATGCATCATGGCCTGACTAAAATATATTGTGAAAGGACTGCTACTTAATGCTTTCCTACTCTTTCTTACTACAAGCCTCATCCACCCACTCTCAAATACACAAACACGCTTTTCTTTTTTTTATGTTTTAATGTGTTTTTTTGTCCCGTGTCGGTTTTCACTGGGATAAAGTTTATATATATATATTTTTGCACCCTTGTGCTTTCTTGGCATGCTTTCTTTTAAGTTTCAGACAAATTGAAAACCAGTTAAGCTACCATTTAAACTGCTCCTGACTACTGTTACATAAGGTGCTAACTTGACACAAATCTAATCCAAGCTGGGTCCATTCACCCTGGTGGATTTCAGAGGCTTTTGGCGAGACCAAATCACATGTGCAGCTGTATATTGTAAGAAAGCAGCAGGGGAAACAGCAGCACAGCTCGAACTAATTAGGAGATGCCTAATTTGATTAATATTATTCTGGAATACATGAATAAAATGAATCGTTGATTAGCCTAACCTTTCGGCATCAACCAGTTCATCTGTTAATGCTGCTTTTTTTGGCCTAAGACTAGAGTTCATTTGAACTTCAGTTGTTACTTTATGGACAGAAAAAGCTTAAACTAAGCAGACTTATATAACAGGCTTCTAGTAAATCCTACCTGCATCTTAGCTATTTTTACTTTTTATTTTATTGCACACAACAGGAGGTGTTTGTCAAAGTCTTTGCTGTTTTGCAGAACTGCTGTAATAAGTGAACGTTGTTTCTCCCTGTACAAAACTATTCAAGCAATTTAATTTGTTACTGTAATTGTTATGCAGTGTCACAGCTGTTTTGTTCTCATTTTAATTTACCAGCAGTCATTCGTAGTCCAGCAGTTGCTGTGGCTGGGACAGATGATCAACCATGTGTCCCTCTTGCTGTCTGCATTATAATCAAATAGTCTGGATTTCAATCTGGGGCTTTTCCTGTCGTATTGTAGGAGACTGCATGCCGGGAATGTTTAAAAGCTGACATCACCAAAAACAGGCTCGTAAAATGTTTCTAATTTGTTGCACGACACTACAGGATTTGTAGTTACGAGTTAAGTGAATAATAGCAGATGCTGTACTTGTATCATTTTTGGTGTTGCTTATTCAATTTTGTCATCTGACTTCAATTACTCTCAAATATTTATGCACATGATTGATACGCACGTGATTTCGAATGCCGGGATTTGTTTTTAGATGTGCTGGGTGTGGAAATGATCGCTCGCTGAAGAGAGAAAGCTTCTCACTCATAACAACTGTGCTCTCTGTTGTCAGAGTAGCTGATGTTATCGGCAACGAACAAGGCATGAAAGGATTTTTTGGCATCTGTTCTGAGTCCTTCTGCTGTATAATATGCGTGCACAAATGCCTCGCTGGCCCATGCCTTTAGGCCATGATGCAATCCAGATTAGCTCTGGATGGGAATGATTCATGCCCGGATTTATTAGAGTAGAGGAACAAAAAACAAAACAAAAACCGCACACAGACTTACAAGAGTAACGCCTGTGATTTAAATCAGACTAAACTAGTCATCCTTTATGAGCGAGTCTTCTTATTTGCTGGTTTCTCTGCCACTATAAAAAAGGAGCCCGACCAGAGGTGTGTTATAGTGATGACTGCTTGTCGGCCAATGGTGCACGGCTGATTGCCAGAGTTTTGGCAAGGAGGTGAAACGTGGATAGAGGGAGAAAATATTACAATTCATTTAAAAATGCAAAATATGAGCTTGGAGGAGCGAGTGCTCTCTGAGCAGCCTTTTAGTTTAATTTCATTTGCAGTATTAGGCATCAGTAGGAATCTATAGTCCTATAACATGTAAGTATTTGCATGCTAATATATTGATAATAATATCAGTTTATACACCAAAGTTGGTTAAACTTGGTAATGTAGTAGATCACACATTTGACTAACAAGCAAAAGATCCCTCCTGGGAGGAGACACACATCCTTTTGGGGTTTGCCTCATGAAGGGCGTCCTGCATAGAAATCTACAACGTGAAACATGCAGGGCTACCTGCTGTGGGACCCCATTGTGAATCCGCTAAAAGTAGCTTCATGCTGATGGTAATAATCGCGACAAGCTCTAATTAATGTGTAGACTTGGTTTAGTATTTGTGCAAATTAAACACAACATATGTCTGGAGCATGTGTGAATGCTGCACTGAAAAACATTGTGTTTTTTCTACTGTCGTGTTTTTTGGTTTTTTTTGCTCATCTTTGATATTTCAGGAAGGCCTACATATTCTTTGCTCTTTGTTTTTGACAGAGTTGAATATGGAGTACAATCCATCAGACCATCCACGGGCGAGCACAATATTCCTCAGCAAATCACAGAATGACGGTGAGTGGCTTGGTTTTATAGAATTTCACATAACAGGAAATTTGTCTGTTTATTAGGGTTTTTCGGTTCTGGTAATTAAATAATTTAATCACATTTGATACTCACTTGAGAAAGAAATATAGAGAAGGTCAGAAAGAGTTGCATTGTGTCTTTTTATAGATCTAGAGGAAGCATATGATAGGATGCCAAGAGACAATCTGTGGTACTGCATGAAGAAGTCAGGCAGCAAGACAGTGGTGAGGTGTATGATAGCAATGACAGATGGGTTCAAGGTGGGCGTGGGATTCAATTAGGAATTGGCTGCGAGTCCCTTTTTGTCTCAATTGTTATGGACAGGTTGACAGATGAGGGTTAGTCGGGAGTCTCCGTGGACTATGATGTTCACAGACAACATTGTGATCTTTAGTGAGAGTCAGGATCAAGTGGAAGAGAGCCTGGAGAGGTGGAGGTATGCAGTGGAGAGAAGAGGTTTGAAAGTCAGTTGTTATTGAAGGTAGATGTGTTCAAATACCTGGGGTCAAACATCCAAAGCAACAGAAAGTGCACAAGAGAGGTGAAGAAGAGTCTGCAGGGAGGGTGGAGATGAGTGGAGATGAGTTTCAGAGGTGATTTATGACAGAAAGACGGCAACAAAAGTGAAAGGAAAGAAATACAAGATTGAAGTGAGACCTACGATGTATGGTTTGGAGACGACGGCAAGAAGACAGGAGGTGGGGCTGAACGTATTATGATTTCCAAGGACGGCGAATGTGGAGATGCCAGACAAAAAAGAGACGAGGAAGGCCACAGAGAACATTCATAGATGTACTGAAGGAGGACATGTAGAGGGTTTGTGTGACAAGGAGCAATGTTAGGACAATGTGAGACAGAGACAGAAGATCTGCTGTGATGATCCATAAAGGGAGGAGCTGAAAGACATGTAACAGGTTTCCAGTGTTTAGTTTTGATGTAATTATATACAAAAAGACAAAAACCCAACATTTAGAAAGCACAGTTTGCAAAAAACATACAGATAGTGTTGTATAGTTCAGAACACAGTTTTGGCTTTATTGACGTTAGCTTGACATGCTGCACTTCCTGTTATCAGCACAGCAAGTTGCTCAAATGCAGTCACAATAAAGAGGGTGTGGAAAAAGTCTGGACACGTAAATGTTTGCAGCCAGCTGAATTTGTGCTGTTGCATTAAGACTTTTAGCTTCCTGTTGGGGAAAGCTTGCACATATAGAGAGAAAGTGTTACTAAGATCCATTAACGTCCCAGCATGAGATTGTTGTTGTTGCTGGAATTTCAGAAACAACTAAAGATGCTTGCTTTTTATTGCTTTTTAATATTTTATATTGAATTGAATTTCTTTTTGTACATGCGTATGAACTTGTTCATGTAGAGAACTTCCAAGTGACATTTGATTAATGTTCCTCCTCCAAACAAAGAAGGAATAAAATGATGTGAGATGTGTGAGTTTTTTTAAAAATATAATCATTGCTTAATATCTGCAACATTTAGAAACAAACTCCATCTTTTTTGTGGCTTTAAACAAAAAAAAAAATGGTGCTTTTATAGCTTTCTTTTCTGAAGTCAAAGAATCCCCTAAAGACATCAGTGTTAAATAAATTATACTTGCTGATATTGCTCATGTAGTCACAGAGTGATGTAAGCCTTTGTGCCTCTGAGCTGTTTTATTATCCAGAAATGCTCCAAATATAAAAGCAGTGTTTGCAATTTGTTTTTAACTCTGTCTGCTTTTGGTCTTTTCATATTATCTCTTGTACTAAAAATACGATGCAACACTAGCTCTATCCTTTAATACAGGAATGAGCCTCAACCAAGTTTCAACCAACACCTCATTTCTTAATATTTAGTTAGAAAAATGCAAACAACATGCAGCATTTTACTGAAACGTGCAAATTCACATTGAAATACAGGATGTAAGACAAAAACAGAGTTTGTGCTATTCAGTGTGCTTGAAAGCCAATGTTTGAATATTTGACCACCTTTATTCTTCAGCACAGCCTAAACTCGCTTTAAGTGGTGTTAAGTGGAACCCAAGTTCCCTGAAGGATATTACAAAAGGCATCTTTGGATATTGTCTGCCTTTTGTTATGTTTGTTGTCCATTTGTCATTGCCCCTTTTCCTCTTTTTGGGAATGACCTTGTTGGCATGGGCATAACTTTGTGCTGAACATTGGGGGGGGTCAAGATCTCTGTCTAAATAAATAAATAAATCTGGGTAAATTCCCAGATGATTAAACATGCAATTATTTTGCTGGTAATACCTGAAATGAGTAAAGAAAATCAACAGCCTATTTATGCAAGATAGTTCATAATTTTATTGAGGGGGTTACATTGGTTGGGTCTGATTATTGGGGGGGTCATAACCCCCCTAACCCCGCTGAAAATTACGCCCCTGCTTGTTGGTGCAACACTACAGTTTTATTACTGCGTGTTTCTTAGTTTCACCTAAAATGAGAACAAATTATGCGTTTTTGTAACAGACTGCTACTAACAATGTGCCTACAGATACAATTTAAAACTGGTTTATACAGAAAATCATCATTATACAAAGGCTGAACTAAAAATGAGCGACAACACAGCAGCCAGTGTCTAAAGACAAGAAAAAAGACCTTTAGAAGGACTGGAAAACTATTGCCTGAGGCCACTTTAAAAGAATTACACATCTGTCTCCTTGAAAGCAAAATATTAAGAAATGAGTGATGGCTCATGACTGCACAGCTCTGTATTTTGTTTAAAATTCATAGTACTTGGCTTATGAGCATAAAAATGTTGGACAAGTTCTTCAGCTGTTTATGACAGATTGCTTTTGCACTAGAAGTTTACTTAAAGAGTGATCTTTTTGCCTCAGGTACTTATTTTAGTACTTGAAGTGCTGACACTGTTCCCAGAGAAAAGCCAAAATGTGTGATACAAGTGAGACACAAAGCAACAATAAATGACTTTGTCAGAGATTTCCTCTTTTGTAAGGATTTATTTTGACCCCTTAGATGTATCTCACGACCCTCAGGGATGCCCTCACTGTTATCAGAACCCAAACCATATTAGAATATTTAGGCATTAACATTGTGACATTACAAATGTTTGTTTGATGATCATTTATGAGGATGTTTTGCTTTGCCCTACAATGTATGCCATTTGTTTCTTTAAATGAATCAGTGACTCTCATGCAAAGAAATAAGGCTGTTGCTTCCTCTTTTTTTCAGAGGTAGCGTACAGGACTGGTGAGTAGTGTAACTTTGTCTCCATCTAGTGGCAAAACTGCACATTTCCGCCTCTGTGTGGCAGCTCACTCTTTACTTTTACCCTTTAACACTTCCTTTAACTGTCTTTTCTCAGCAATTTATTGCAACCTTTTTTGCTAGCTGCTATTAACACTTTGCTAATAGTGTTTAGTGTGTTTTACAGTGTTTTACATTCGGTGGGCTTTGTGTTTGGCTTTTTTTTTTGCTTCTGGCATTTTAGGAAAAATTACAGATGTTGAATGTCTTCTATTTATTTTTACAGTGCGGGAGAAAAGAAAGAGTCTCTTCATCAATAATGTGAGTGCACAGATTTTGCAAAAATTGAAACATGATATTTTTTCTTCTTCTTTATTCTTTTTGTGCACATTACCCTTGCATGCTATAGATGACACCAAAACATGTGAATTCTAATAACAGTCTTTTGTTTGTGTGTTTGTGTATTTGTAGCACGGAACTTTGAGGCGCAAATACAGCTCCTGCTCTACCATCTTCCTGGATGACAACACAGTCAGCCAGCCCAACCTCAAATACACCATCAAATGGTTGTAACACCAGGAAGGAAACATTTGTATTTTTTTTTAAACCTACATGCTTTTCTGATATTAATATAAACATTTCTTTCTGTCTACAGTGTAGCATTGGCAATATACTACCATATAAAAAACAGGTAAGGATTCTCATGTTACCTAAAGACTGCCAGTTAATATCTGGGCATCTGATATCAAGGACAATATATTCAGTTTATCCCAAAATCTAAAGGCAGAACTGCTGCCTATTCTGAATGGTTTATTTGTGCTTCTCTTTGTCTTTTTTAAGCTTTTTATGATGGATGCACAAAATTACATCTAAAATTCAGCACAGTTTGAAGTCTGTACTTATGTTTAATCTTCTCACAGTGTCAAGGGTGTCTGGACTGTTGAAGGATTCAATGTGAGAGATGCAAGACATAAGAGTTATCGGAATAAAACAGGATGAAGAACTTCTAGAACTGAAACAAGAAGGCACGAAACACGACACTAAAGAATAACTAAGAACAAACTAATTCAGGAGGGAAAAAATAAGGACGTTGCTAAACAAAATCTGGAAACCAAAACGGAAATCTAAAATTCAAGTCCCAGAATAACACGTAAAGAATTCCAAACCCCACGTAATGACAAACGGCAGGACCTTGACGAGTGTGACAGTGATCTGTGTTTTTGGATTTAAGGAAGCTTCAAGCTGTTCAAACTCTTCTTGAAACTGTTTCAGTTGCAGTGATCTTTATCCATAACGTAGCCATAATAGCCTACTTTAAAATAGTTAATATGTATCTCTTTACCCAAAACTCCATGGCATTTACAGTTTGTGAACATCTCTGTTTTTGCTACGGTAGTAGCTCACTGTGGCTAGCACACTGAAGCGTACCCTGCCTTTCGCTCTGTGATAACTAGAATAGGCTCCAGGCTCTTTGACCCTGGATTGGATGAGTGTTTGAGAAAGTGGATGGATAGAAGAGAGGAAAAATAAATGTTTTATTCCTTTTCAGAGATGCAGACGGTGGGACGCTATTAGATATCTTTGATGAGAGGCTTCACCCTCTCTCGGTAATATAAACGATTTCATTTTTAAATCTGTTGACTATCCTGCTGCTCGTTTTGGCAAACCTGTGTCAGATGTTCTGTTGTATTTTAATGCACCTTGGTAGACTCTGGTTCTGTGTGTTAAGATTTTTTTGTCTCCCATTTTAAACCCTTTATTTTTGCTCTCACCGTCTGTTGCTTCATTTTCACTTGCGCACTTTTCTTTATGTCTTGTTGTCTTTCTCACCCTGCTCTCTGTTTTGGCTTTTCTTCCTCCTCGCAAAATTGTCATCCACCATCATCCACTTTTCTCACTTTCCCTGATGGTTGTTCTTCTTTTATCTAATCTCTGCCTCCCTTCATTTATCCAGAAATCAGAGGTTCCACCGGACTACAATCAACACGATCCGGAGCAGAAGCAGATTTACCGTTTTGTCAGGACACTGTTCAGTGCTGCTCAGCTCACTGCTGAGTGTGCAATTGTCACACTGGTGAGGCTTATTTATTTGTGTATTGCCATTAAATAATGCATTAAAAAAAAAAAAGGTATCTTCATGACACTTTGCTCCCCTAAGGTGAGATAAGATGGACCTTTCAGTTGTGCGCACACAGTTTGTGTTTAGGCCCCCGGGAAATTGCAGCCTGATATGTTCCGACAACCCAGGCATGTGTGCAAATTGTTGATGAGACTATGCATCATAACTACTGTGATGCATGTGACTATTGTGGGCTCTGAGAGATCAGTGATGAATGTAGTTTGTCATACAGGGGGGAAAAAAACCCCCAATTGTTTACCTCCCAACACTATTAGTTAGATCAAATCAGGTTCTGTTAGTAAACTGTTTTTTCCATGTTAATGATTATCTGCTGCTTTGATTTTCTATCTAGTTTTCAGTCTTTATCCATGTGATTGTGCAGGTTTATCTGGAGAGGCTCCTGACCTATGCAGAGATTGACATCTGTCCAGGAAACTGGAAGAGGATCGTTCTGGGTGCTATCCTGCTGGCTTCCAAAGTCTGGGATGATCAAGCTGTCTGGAATGTCGACTACTGTCAGATTCTCAAGGACATCACAGTGGAGGACATGTGAGTGATTAGCATTAAGGATGGGAATGGTCTTGAAATTTAGGATTTTATTCTAGGTTTAAGGTTTGAATTGGGAGTCGGTTGGGGACTAAAAAAGACAGAAAAGAAAATGACAAGCAGCCCGAGAAAAACCGGAATGATGCTCATGAGATTTGGTGTGATAAGCTTCTTCATCAAGTCATGGATTTAAATCCTCAAGGTTTCAAACAAATACATAAAG